TGCGATTAATCGACTATAAATATTTATTGTTCAGCAAAGCGACTAATCTACGAATTAAATCAAGTAAATTTTATGCAGACCATTTAGCTTTTATGGCGAGATAAAAATGAAGATAAAATACATAAGCGTAACAGTAGCCACTGAATAAACAAATTCGCATGTAAGATTTTATAATTGTGAAACCGTCAAGGTATCTATTATTTATAATTTTCTATGTCTAGTTTTATTAATAAAACAACAAAAGTGATTAAATCCCATAATATATTATAATTGGCGAGTTTTTTACAGCTGGCTCCATTTCTCGCATACTAATTTCCAGCGTTTTCTATCGAAGTAATCTTCAGTTTTTAAATCTCTGGCGGTCATTTCATATTATACATCTTTTCTGCAGGACGGTCTTGGTCTGTTGTTTTCCTTTTTTTTAAACATAATCCATTTTTCTATTTTTTTTTGGATCTATCTGCATATGTGTCCCATACCAGTTTAGTCTTTTGGCTTTAATATTGTCTAAGTATTATATCTAGATCAATTTCCAATTATCTCCTAATATCTCCGTTCCTCACCTTATCAAGTCTAGGGAGTCGGCAATGTCGTCTCCAATTGTTAATTTCCATGATCTTAACTTTGATTTGTTTCTTTGATTTATTTTATTTACCAGAGTTCTATACTTTCCATTATTGTTTGGTTATGTGTTATTACTCCACAATAGTACGTCTAGTGGCTGATCTTTCTTGGTCAATCCTGAAATGTATTTCTTCGTTACTTTCTGTTTTTGATATTAGTTGGATTCCCAAGTATCTAAAGGTTGTAATTGTTTTTATAGTTCAAATTTCAAGTTGTAGCCTTTTTGGTTTTTCCCCTGCAACTAAGTACCTACTCGATTTTTTGTATATTAATTTTAAGGTTCCACTTGGTGCAGGCACTTTTCTAGTTTTATAACCATATATCACTCTCGTCTTCTGCTAGAATGTCTTGATCGTCAGCGAAATGTAATGTCTACAATCTCTCGTCCTCGACTGGGATGCCCATATTACAGCACTTTTTTCTTCACACTGAGAGCGAATTACAATAAACGATACATTAATCCTGGATGTCAGCGATATTCCAATTCCAATAGTTCAGCCGATGAGCACTTTCGACACAAATCGCAGGCAGATCGTTATTAATTAATTTCTAATTAATACTATAAATTTATGTTTTAAAGTCAGTTGTAATTTAATTAAATAAAATGCTGTTACTCTAGTAGTTGTATCTTTAAAATACCTTTAAAAAAGTCCCTTTGGGAGTGACAAGTGGCGCATTTAATGGATTAGTGAAAGAGTCTGCAGAAGATCCTCGTCGTTTTCAAACATCTACCCGCCACCAAACCAACATACATGAAAAACTACAGCTGTTTAACCCACGGATTCTAGACAAATTAGCACAGAAACATATTTATGAAGAAAGCAGAAAAGAAACTTGTATCAACAAGGAATGCATCCAAGCATTATCCTATACCTAGAAGCAATTTCATCTTATTTACAATATGGCACCCATTTTTAATGTTAATAATGTTTTTGTATTGTATCAGAGAAAAACAGCAATCCAAATAAACTTCAGAATTTTATTGATGTTATTTATATGCTTCTAAACAATTTCTGGGATGATACAATTCCCGAAAATTCTCAAAATCATGTGCTTACCCGAGGAATTATCAACAAAATTAAAAAAAAAACAGAAAAATTATTTCTGTATATGGCTGTAAAGACTGGCCGACAAATAAATAATCTCGTGTCCAACATTTTGCAGACCAACGTCACGAAAACACATTAACCAGATATTAAGTTGATCTTTATCAAGCCCTAAACGAAAATCCTTATTAATTCCATGAAAAAGTTATGTATCTTATAAATACTATTTTAAATTACGTTGAACGGTACACAGAAGATGAGGAAGTTAAAAGAATTAAAAAAGAATTTTGTCAATAATAAACTTTGGAAGGTTTATGAGAAACCCTATGATCAACAATTCGATCCATGAGACCACCGAATCTTTGGCTTGCTATCCAATATATTCTGGAGGAAAATAATAATAGATATCTCTCTTAAAAATCTCATAATTATTTCTTATCATCTTCTAACAAACTATCTCTCACTTCACATAAGCAGAGGCACAATTCCGCTCCTCCAAGATGGCAGTCTGAGGTGTCCAAGTCCCAATAGCTACAGTCATTCCTTAGCCCAAATCAAATACCTTTGCAACAACAGCAATTCAATAATAGTCCAAGAGAGATAGTCCAACGCCATTCTATTCGAGAATGATAAACTTTACAAATCCCTATTCAATATTCTACGAGAAACTTTCAAAAATTCCTCATTCGATCTTGTCAAATGCAATAGCCTCCCAGAAGATATAAACAGCGCAAAGAGACAATTTAAAGACCAATCACAGAGGAATTAACGAAACCCAAGCCCAAATAATAAACCGCTACTACTAACCTACGCTAAAGAAAGATATCGAAGAAGTTATTAAGATTTGTGATAAGCGCCAAGCTAACAAGTATGACGGAAATCCAATTAAACCGAAAATTATGCTAACACCAACTCCAACAAAACCATTAGAAATCATTTATATGGACACATTCCAAGCTAACCGGCAAAAATTTCTTAAAATAATTGATGCAGCCTCTACATAAATATGGCCAAGCATATCCCATAGAAAGATCGCACGCAATAAAATGTCCTTGATACCTACATGTTCTTCATGGACTACCACACTTGATAATCGCAGATATTAGAACCGAATTCAAGAACAGCCTTATTCAGGAATTTGTCGATACTCTGAGTATTAAAGAATATATTATGTTTGTAATTTATTTAAATTGTTAGTCCCGGAGAGCGATTATTTAAACAACTGTACTTGCCTAAACGATTCTTTGATATTATGCAAAAAATAGAGAAAACATCCAAAAAATGGTGTGAGTAGCGAAATTTGAAAAATCTTGTTTGGAATAATATCTGGGTAAATCGTAAAGATTTCTATCAAATGTTATTTTGAAGAAGAAAAATAGAAGTTTTTGTTCAGCAGTTCTTGTACCTATATTTCCGTATAAAAAATAAATAATATGTTTCTGTCAAAAAAAAATTTTGACTTTAAAAGGTGATATTTTAATAGAAAATTAAATTTAAACCACTTTTCAGTAGATGTATATGTACGAAAAGTAATAAAAAACCACCCAAATGCACTCTAGTGCAGGGGTCACCAATTATATTTCCTCAGGGTCCGTTTCGAAAATCTACTACACTTCCGAGGTCCAGACACTTAGTACTAAACCAGGCAGTGGCATAACCAGGGGGGGGGGTTACCCAGAAACCCTCCAGTAGTTGTAACCCTCCCCCCTCAGAGAAGATCATACTGGTTCTTCTTAGGGCCTGTCCGTTCCGCTGGCTATGATGACTTTGAGGTTGAGATTGACGTTGAGGTCTTTCTATACCATGCTCTCAGGTTAGCAAGCCATATTTTTCTTCGTCCTGGGGCGAATATTTTTCCTTCAATTTTACCTTGCAAAATACATTAAAGTAGCTGGTGTCTGCCTTGATTTCCCATTATATGTCTCAAGTACTGCAGTTCTTCTTCATTGGTGACTTGATCCTGATCGTGATCTTCAGGATGCTTCTGTAGAGCCTCAGCTCAAAAGCCTGAAGTTTTGATAGAGTTTCCGCCTTCAATGTCCACAATTCTACTCCATACAGAAGCACTGAGTATATGTAACATTTAAGGATCCTTATTTTTGTTTTCAGGGTGAGGTCATGGCTCTTGAACACAGAGCTCATAGTCAAGAATACACTTTTTGCCTTTCCGATGCGACATTTAATCTCTTGGGTGTTGTCCCACGACTAATTGATTATAGTTCCCAAGTAGTTGTATTGTGAGACACGTTTAATTTTCATTTGGATCACATACAGATTTGCTCCAGTTATATTTTCCTTGCTGATGATCATTAGATTGGTTTTGCCGGTGTTTATCCAGTCCATATTTTCTACTTATTTCCGTTATTTTGTTCATTTAGTTTTGCTGCCCTTCTATTGGTTACGTAGTTGAAACCAGACAACTAGGCCACCTCCTTTAAGAAGATAGCTTCGAGGCTGGAAGAGGGGATCGAAATCCACACTATCCTTGCCAAAATAGTCCACCACAGCGTTGTGTAAATCCTCTCCTGTAGTAGTTCCTGACATTGGCAAAATAATCGAAAGTTTTTCAACAAACTCTTCACTGGTTCTGTCCAGGTAGCGCATAAAAATAACAAGCTGTGCTGTAGCTGTAATGTCGTATGACTCATCCAATGCCAAAGCAAAATATTTAGTGACAGTCAAGATTTGTTTTATCGTTTTCTATGTTTCATCTGCCAATACCTGTGTATTCCTTGTGCTTGAAGTAGTAGATATTGGAATATGCTGAATAGTATTGACAACATCCTTTTTATTTTCAAATAATGAATTTCCTGCTTCCAGAAAACACTCTTTAACGATACCTGCGTCACTAAATGGCTTTATATGTTTGGCAAACGTCCAGGAAATGCGTAAAGAAGAACATTATCAGACTTGATTATAATTTTATACTATAATTTTATTACTATATTTTGAATTTAACGGCGGTCCACAAAAATCAAGCTCACAGTCGCGTCGCCATTTGGTGACCCGTGCCCTAGTGCATAAAGACAGATTTTTTTTCCATGATTTTTTTATTTGGGAGTCCATTGATTATATGAAATAATAAAACCCTTTGTTGTTCCTGTTAGGCTAATTTTTTTTAACATAACCAACAGCATATTAGTTCTATATAACGAACATTAAATTACTTATGAAATAATTTAAAAAACTGGAAACACAATATATTTACAGTAAATGTTGAATTTTTCTACTAATATTTATTTTAAAATCCTTCGTTCTGCGCATATTTATGTAGTTATTTTTATGTGTTTTGCTTTTTATTATTTATTATTTAGTATTTATTTTTTTTAGGCAACTTTGCCATTGTTCACAACCGGACTTGTTCAAGTATCTACCTAATGAGGGAGGGAAAGCATAATTTTACCATCCATGATAACGGCAGCTTCACCGAATGGCTCTCAACTGGTTTTCGTACAGAGGATGTTGCAGACCCAACCTCATATTGCATAGAGCACACCCAAAGAAAGAATATGAATGGTTACTACATGTTTCACTGTTTTCCTGAGGATCCCACAGCTCTTACCAAATTCGAATATCGATTATGGCCTTTTATAATGTCGTGTGTTTTTTTGGTGTTAACAGTTGTTGTTTATATTATCATCAAGGAGTGGAGAAAGATGTTTGGAAAAATATTAGTAAGCTATTGCATTGCTTCCTTCTTCGTTTATGTCATATTGACTTTGGGACAACTGTATACAGAACCGACTTCCACTGATTGTCAACTAAGAGGTAAGTTTTAGCTACATTTTTTCCTCTTAAATTTTGCATTTTGTCAGACAATTTTTTTTTATTTAGCTTTACGTGTTTCGACAGCGTAGGTTACTGACACAATCGATAAAGAAATACATTAAATATTGGTACAATTATTAATTATCTAATTCTAAACTACGTCTTTTCTTCTAAATTTCGTGATAAAGCCTGGTTTTAAAGAGGAAATTGATAAGGTTTTGGAATTGATCTGGTGGGCTGAGAATATTTTGCAGGTTTCGACTAAAAAGATTCTTTTTTCTTTTGTTGTTGAAATAGGGATATTCTACGAAAATATGTAGAATAGTACCACAGTGTGTACATGTAGGTGGATCTTGTGAAATCATTAAAAATGTCTATCGGAGTTAGTCTTGCATGGCCAATTCTAAGTCTTCAAGTCTTTCTTTTACTTCATCTTTATCCTGTGTTAAGTCCTTATTTTATAAAATAATGTATAATTAAGCAATAGTTTGTTATTTTTGATAGATTTTTCTCAGAAAATACCAACATCACCAGCTTGTAAATTTGGTGTGGTATACAAAAAATAAATGCTTAGTTCATCAACTTTCATTTCACATTATTCTCAATTGCCGGAAGCTAAAAGTAATCAAGGATAACGAAGATAATAAGGTTGCCATGCGGGCTCTTGTATTTCATGAAGTAAAAATACTCGACCTTGAACTTGAAATTCAGGTTATTCGTAAAAACACAAATTTATTAATTTTAAGGATATTCAATAATATTTCATAGAATTTCTATCTATAGATAAATAATTATTAAACAATAATTATACAGGGTCATCAACAGGATCAACATAAACCTCATTAAATTTTTCGGATTTGACTCCGCGTTAAATAGTTTTGGTTTTTAGAAAAACCATTTTTTTTGGCGACATTTCGGCAAGATCACACTTGCCGTTGTCAAGTCAGATTAGGTCAGATATTCTAGGTGAACTGATTTCTCAGTTGCTTCATTGTCGCGTTGGTTTTTCTTTTCTTGATGTTGTTTCTTTTCTTTGTGGTTTTGGCATCCTGTTTTAGGCTGTTGCCTCTTCAGGATGTGGTTTTTGTTTTTGTGGTGGTTGGCTTCTGGTTTGTTTTTTCGTTGATCCACTGGTGGGCTGAACCAGGACAATCAGTGGCGAAAGGTTTTGGTCGGTTCTATTCAGAATTGTTGTCTAAAATAATTAGTGAATTAGTTTATTAAATTAATAAATGTAGAAAAATGAGATATTAATATATGTATGAGTACATGCATTAATATATTAGTAATCAGTAAATATGTTATTATACGCGGCGCGAGAGGGCAGCTGCGGCTGTATCCTCACAATAGACAGGTATCATTTGCAAGTGGAATCAGGAAACCGCAGAAAACCGATCCCCCCTGTCTAGGCAAGCTCGAAGTGAGCAATTTAACTGGGAATGCGACGGAAATAGAGGGGAGTTGCCTCCTGTATGTCAATGTATTCAACAGGGAGTTCGTTACTGGCGAGTTCCAGTAAAATAGCGGGTAGGTGTGGGAGTTTAGGTTTAGCGTTTACTCTACGCAGAATTGACCTTTCTATTCTAAATAAATTTTCTTTTACGGCTTTTGACAAAGTAGCGTAAATGTTAGATCTGTATTCAAAAATAGGTCGTATAAATGATTTATATGAGAAAATTAGTGTGCGAAGTTGTGCCGCCCCGAAATTACATCTCAAACTATTAAGGAGACCAAGTCTGCTCCTAGCTTGTTGCTATGCACAGATCAGCCCTCCAGTTTATTGTTCGGGTGAACACCACACCTAGGTACTCGATCTGATCACGGAACTGAAGTCGGTCTCCCCAGAGCGTGAGATAGTTTCTTTCGTTAAAGGAGGCGGCACGAACACTGTGTGTTGGATGTCTGAAGAGAGTCATTTGAGTTTTGTTCGGATTCAGTGACATTTTCCATCGCCCGCACCAGTTTTCAACTAGTCTAAGGTGATTTTGAGCGTACCGAAGAACAGAATCAACGTCTCCCGCTGTAGTTACTAGGGCGGTGTCATCTGCGTAGAGCAAGGTGGTAGTATTGGTGTATGTAGGGTTTGGAAAGTCACTGTTGTATATAGTGTATAGTATGGGAGCCAATACAGAGCCCTGAGGTACTCCAGCTGTAGGAGTAAAAGCATCAGAGAAATGTCCCCGTTCCTTAACCCTGATACAATGTCCAGAGACGTATGAATGGATTAGTCTTGTAGCGTTTTTTTTATTTAAAGTGTATAGAAAAGATTTCTGTGTTACGCTCCTGTTGTTTTTACCAAAGAAAACAATCGAAATAATATTTCAAGTTTTTTTGACGAGATTTTTAAATGCGTATATTTCTACCGATTCAAAAGTAAATATAGATGTTTTTTTGTCTGTGTTTAGATTCAAATATCGAACCTTTTGTTATAAGCCAGGTAAAACTCAAGTTTAAAATACGCACGTATTTTGTTAATTTGTATTATGTAAATTTATGATGCCCCCTGATAAAAAAAAGGTTTTATTTGTTTTCTTCGTTAAAAACGCAATAAACCATGAATTCCCCTAATATTAAAGTTGTTTTTCGTTATTAGTCGAGGGTCAAAAAAAAGAATATTTGTTTGTTTAGGCAATAAAGGAACATTTAAAATTTGTTTTTTTGTCGATACAAGCGAGGGGATATTGTTTTGGTTCTTGAGTTTGGGGGACAGGTTAGCTGCAAGACGGAAGGGAAATTTTTGGCTAGATTCTGGTAAAATGTAACGAAGCAAGGGAGTCGAGATTTGAGTTCCAAACGGGGCAGACATGGACAATTGAGACCAAGATTTGATTTGAAAAGGAGTCGAGATTTGAGTTCCAAACGGGGCAGACATGGACAATTGAGACCAAGATTTGATTTGAAAAGGAGTCGAGATTTGAGTTCCAAACGGGGCAGACATGGACAATTGAGACCAAGATTTGATTTGAAAAGGAGTCGACTTTTAAGTTCCAAGCGGGGCAGACATGTGAGAATGGAGTAAAAGATTTGAAAAGGAGTCGAGATTTAGATTCCAAGCGGGGCAGACATGTGATAAGAAGTCGAGATTTAAGTTCCAAGCGGGGCAGACATGTGGGAATGGAGTAAAAGATTTGAGAGGAAGTGATGAAGAACTTCTCGAAGAAAAAAGTCGTTTAATTGTGATGTTGTAAGCCGGCATTCATTCGCCAAAATGGTGGAATTTTCACTCTAAGCAATATGTCGTTTCTGAAAGAGTGACCAGTAACCACTGTTTTTATTTTGGCTGAAGATTTATGATGTTTGAGCAGTGAACAAGTTTAGTTCCTGTTTGTTTTTCGTTTTTTTGAGAAATCCAGTTCCTTCCCGAGATGCCCTTTTCACCTCATGTAGAATAATATTGGAGCAGTTTTGATTTGGATGTGCCAGTTTCAGCTTCCAATAAAGCTTTCCGTTGATGTGCAGTTAGATACTCCGCAGAAGTTAGCCAGTTGTTCAAAATTTTAAGTTAAGATGTGTGAACTGAGGTAACATTTACGTTATTAATTTTTAAAGTAAAAATAGACATTTTCTTTTAAAAAGACAAAATTTGCTTTCTTTTATAAATTATTTTTTAAATTATTTACTAGGAACCGTTTCGAAGAGTTTTGTAACCTTTTGTAAACAGATATGTAAGTTTTTTTTTTATTTGTATTTGACAGCTAATTTTATTTAATATGCCTTTGTATAAGCTGTATTTTTGAAAACTGTTTGGTGAGACAAAAATAAATGTTTAATTTGTTTCTCTGATCTATTTTGAGTTTTATTTGAAAAAGATATTTTTTTCTGTATTTTTGATGTTATACAATTATTTCCCTAGTTACAACTAGTGGTTGTAATAGGTATAATTGGGCACCTCAAGTGGCGCCCTATATTAAATTTCTTGAGGTGTTTCCGTTTATTTTCATTCTGTTTGTCCCAGGAGATTTGTATAAGTACCCCTTTATTTTTTTTTTGTAGTTGCCCGAATCTAACCCCCAATATCTTCAACTTATCCACGACCCAGCTCTCCAACAACCAACTGAGTGTCGTATGCACTTGTTTCGATTATTTTGTTTGCCCAATCTTGTCCCCCATATTCTTACCCTGTGGTAAGCAAAATAGTCGTTACAGTCTGACGAATGAAAGTGGTAGACCGATGTTCAGTAGTTTCTTGACCAGCCCCATATGCCAGACTTGGTCAAAGGCTTTGCTGCACGCTGAATTTAAATACCTTGTAGCGTTTCTTGTGATTGGTCCTGTGTGCAGAGTGGGCGTATTCGCTACTTTATTTTCTATGTTTTTCTGCAGAATTAGTTTCCACGTATTTGGGAGTCCTTGGGTATCATCTCTGGTATTCAAATTTTTTGGATGTTTTTCGATCTCTATGGCTTCCCTGATTACAGGTTTGGCTTTATTTTCGATGTTGGCTAGCATTGTTGTTCCAGTTAAGTCTATTTTGTGTCCTCTGTTTATGATATGTTGTGCAAGGGATAAAGTTTTCTCTTTTCTTTCGATGGCGTTTCGATGTTCTTCGCGTCTAACTTGTATCCTTCAATTTGTCTGTCCGATGTACGATTTATCGCAGTCTTCACACGGGATTCTGTATACGCCTTGATTTTCCAACGCAACTTTTGTTTTTGTCGATGGTAATATGGTTGCGATTTTTCAGTCGGTGTTAAAAATAGTTTCTATTTTGTTTTTCCTTAGCACTCTACTGATTTTGTCTGTCGTACTCTTTATATAGGGCAGCATACTTTTTCCGACTGGTTTTTCTTCTTTTTCTGGATCTTTGCTTTTGTTTCGGGATTTCTGTGCCTTTTCAATCGTGGACATGAAGAAGACATTTTTTCTTAGAGCTGTTTTGACTTTGTGCATTTCTTCGTTCTTATAGTCCTCATCTGCCAGTTTCTCAGTTCGTGTGGAACATCAAGAAGAAGCAGAACTAATCTGACTTGACTTTGCCAAAACAATGGTTTTTCGAAAAA